TTTTTCTACAGCTGAGATAACCTGGAAAAAATTTATGCCTGCCAGAATGTGAAAGAATGAACTGCTGTTTAAGATATTTAACAATTTGCAATACCAGATAAGTTTTCTTAAGGAGATTGTTCAGCTTGCTTTCTTTGGTACTCTTAATTTAAAGGTATTCTAGGTCTGCCTTCCACACAATATGATCTTTTTTCCAGGTCAGTTTATAAAGCACACTGGTATTAAGCTGGAATGCTGACAATGCTGGTCCCAGAATCCTGACGCCCAGGACGGAGAAACATTACCATAGAGGCCAGCGGCTATCTGGTCATCTGTCAGGTTCACTGGAGACAGCGCACACTCCTGGGCGGGGAAGGCGTCCTGGCTGCTGAGGGCCTCTCCATCCGTGGTCCCCGCCTCTTGCTCAGGCGGGGATCTCTGGGTGCTTAATGGTCCTCTTGACTGAAGGCTTCCACATTTACAGGTATATTCCAAATTACTTCCTATCAAGGAGGAGATGGGTATAGAATATGTGATGCTAGGACTGAACAAAATAGGCTTAAAGAAAAAAAAAAAAGATTCTTGCAGCTCATCATTTAAAATGGGACTGCTGCCCAAGCCCCCTAAACGGAATCCCTAATGCCTTCTTTGACCCTTAACCTTTTCCCTTGTGACCACATGCGGACCTGCGAGGTTGACATTCTAACTCCACAGCATGTCTTTTCTTCTCTCTGCCCTGGCTACCATGCTAGCCTTGGTTTTGGGTCACAGGAGAAGTATCCTGACAGCCCCTCTTTCATCACCATTTCCCACCTGGTGCACTGCTGCAGAGTCTCAGCTCTAATGGCGTCATTATCCTAAAACAAAATGCAACAAAATCTAAACAAACACCCCACTGCTCAGTAAACACAGTCCACGCTGCATAGCCAGATATTCTATAAATCATCCGTAATCTAGCATGCACTTACCTCCCAAGTTCATTTCCCGCTACTCTGAGGTCCTTATGGGGACAGAGGCTGCATCCCAGTAGGTGGAAGCACTCTCTGCATGGAGAGTGGGGGTCTCTCTCATTTCCTCATAGCATGCCCCTGGCTCTCTTCCACCTGGAATACCTTTCTTCCCAATCTTCGCATGGCCAACCCTCCCATCACTTCTTCAGAGCCTTCCCTGATCTCCCTCACTAAAAGGAACATTCCTTTCCCTGAACTCTCAAATTCCATCCTCTGTGCCCTCTTCTGGAATCTATGATACAAGCTATAAAGTGATTTATGTGACCATTTTAGGCTCTCTTCTAGGATAAATATTTTGAGAACATGAAACAGTTCTGATCTACTTTGTTTCTCTCATATCTACTAGAGTGCTTTTGCATATGTTCATGGACTGAAGCACAGAAACTGGACTCAATGATGCTTTATAATTAATGTATATAAATATGTCATAGCATTTTCAGTGTGTGTGTAACACAGAAAGATGTTACAACATGTGGTTAAATGAAAAAAGCAGATAATAAAATTCCATGTATTATGTGATCCTGTTAAAATACATTAGTATATATACACAGACACACCTGGAAGACTCTATACCAAAATGAAACAGCTATGGTGGTTTTATTAATAATTTTTCCCTGTACTCACATTGCCATTCTTTTCTATAGGGAGTATGGATTAACTGTGTACAAAAATCACTTGAAAAAGAATAAAAAATTCTTTGACTCAGTAATTTGATTTCTAGAAATTTTATCCTAAGGATGTACAAAAAGATATAGAAGAATGGTCATTGTTTCCACCTTTAAAACAGAAAAAG